CCATGTGCTTAATTCACACCGTCCATCTTAATCTTCCGATTAACTTGCCTATTGACACAGGAGTTAATTGAGTTATAAAGCACAAGATAATAAACCCTGGATGATTAACTATATGTTCTGATCCTCGAACTAAAGGTGGTTGCTAAATTTGATAATTTTGTCTATATTATTTGTCTAGAAAAACCTCTTGGAAAGATTCTTATATTCTTCCAGGAAATCCCTCAACTTCAAAACTCTCAAGAAACTCCAGTTACTTGGTCTCTGTCACTACTTACTTCAAAACACTAATCATAGCTCCCTATGGATTCGACTCCGGATTTAACCGGATTATTACTACAACTTGACCGCCTGCACTTGGGTGTACACATTTTGGATCAAGTCAAAAATTTTGCCACAAGGCTTATTATAAAGTGAGAAATATGAATTACCATCCTTATTTCATGCTTTCATAAGCCACTTTCACAAATAGTACTTCTTAAGGTGCTCAGCATTACAAGCATGCATCAACTTTCTTTCATTCATGTCTATAGCTCATAAGTTCTAGACCTTATCATCTGAGTAACTTGATAGGACCCTTTCTAGTTTGGGCCCAACTTTTCCATGCTTAGGATCCTTGGAGGCTTGGGTTACCTTTTTGAGGACTAGGTCTCCTTGGGCAAACTCATGGATCATGACCTTTCTGTTGTAGTAGTGGGCTGTTTGAGCTTGGTAAGCGCCTATGTGATTTGAGATTGCTCCCTTTTTTCTTCAAGGAGATCAAGGTTAGTGCGGAGCTGTTCTTTATTTTTTTTTGCAATATATTGATGTAATCTAAACGTTTGCATCTCCATTTCGGTTGGGATTACTGCCTCTATACTGAAGGCTAGGTAGAATGGTGTTTCCCTAGTTGAAGTTCTGATTGTCGTGCAAAACTCATAGAGGATTTGGAGTAGTTACTCTACCTATAGCCCCTTTGACTCCTTCATGCGGGTTTTGATTCCTTGCATAAGTTTCTTGATGGTCACTTCTGCTTAGCCCTTGGCTTGCGCGTAGCCTGGGGAGGTGTAATGCTTGTGAACTCCATATTCAGAGCAGAATTCTCAAAATGGATCTTTGTCAAAATCTTTCCATTATCCGACACCAAAACATGAGGTACCTCAAATCGACGAAGTATGGACTTCCAAAAGAAATCTCAAAATTTTTTCTCTGTGATAAGGGTTAAGGGTTCTACCTCGACCCATTGGGTGAAATAATCGATTTCCATAATTGTAAATTGGTTCTGCCCCTTTTTGACTGGCAGAGGTCCGAATATGTCAATTCCCCATTGGACAAATGGCTAAGGACTTGTCATAGGAGAAAGCTCCTATGGAGGTTTTTTTGACCTATTGGCGAACCTCTAACAACTATCACAAGTTTTCATAAACCGTATAACATCCTTCTGTTTGGTTGTCCAATAGTACTGTTGGCAGAGTGCTTTGTAGGCCAGAGCCCTCCCTCCTTGGTGGTTCTCACATTTTCCATCATGAATATCTTTGAGAACATACTAAGTTTCATCTTTCTCCAAACAACGTAAATAAGGAGTGAGAAAACGTATTTTATATAAAACTTCGCCTATAATAGAGTACTTTGCAGCTTCCTTGCGGAGCTTCTGCAGCTCAATTCGATCCTTGGAGATTATTCCATCGGTTAAATATTAAAGATGTGAAAGGTTCGTCCCTTCTCTTGTTGGGTGACATTAACCTCTACTTCGGCCTCGTCGATGCTAGGTTTAGGAAGGAGCTCCATAGGGATTACACTTGGGAGCTCATCATGGAATGATGAGGCCAAGTAAGCTAAAGAATCAGCATGGTTTGGTTTGGTTTGACTAGGTTTGGTTTGGTTTGATTAGGTTGAGATTATTCAGATTATCCACACTTTAGATTATTTAGATTTTTGCATTTCTTCTACCCATTTCACTTGTAATCTTCTGTAAGACTCTTGTAAGCTTCATTTATTGCACATAATGTCATTTATTTCAAGTGTATTGCAAGTTTAGCTATGCATTCTAGATTCTACCATTGTCGTATGATTTTTTCACTTCAAGCTTTCAAAATGGGTATTAAATACACTCCTTTATAGTTTAAATTTTCTTGCATTAATCCAAGTTCCAATCTTCATTTCGTCACAATGTCTCTTTACATTATGTATGTTCTTTCATTAAATATGAGTAGGTAAGCTTCAAGTTGGCTAATCCAAGGGAGAATTGCTCTTAGGTATGCTAAATCAACTCTTTTTCGTTCCTTCTCGTAGTGTAAGATGGTTTGGTTTGACTAGGTTGAGTGTGGATGTAGTTGTGAGTTCTTGATACACCATAGACTTGTCACCGGGTATGCTTGAATCCTTACCTCTATTTTAGTCCCTTGCTTCCTACGAATCAATCAAACGTCTAGGCACTATTGAAAGAATGCCTTGAGTTGATTTGACATTCCCATTGGAATGACCTCTTTGGATTAACCAACACTTGTTTCCATTATATTTCATCACAAACTTCACTCATCAAAACTCAAATTCAAAGATTTTACACTTTTCCTTTTTCAAAAAAATCACCTTCAACATAATTCACCTTCCTTTCCAGAGGAGACGACCTTGGAATACCATTCTAAGTAAAAAAGACACTTGAAAGTCTCTCTACGCTTGTGGAACACTTTTTTACACACACATTTTCATCCACACACACATTCACCCCATTTCTTGCATGACATCTGAGGGAGAGTGACACTCACCTAACTGTATAAGGAAAACACACAATCGGATTCATGGTTGGAGATTAGGGTTAGAAGAATAAAACCCAAGTATTTTTGGCACCATTACCGGGGAAGGCAAAGCGTTGAATTAAGAAGGTGATTTTGGACAATGGAGGTAAGTCCCATGAATTCTCATCACGGGCGAGGTACGTTGCTCCTTGCACATATTTTTTGTTTACTTGTATTTTCATTTGTAGATATTGTTTTGTGTGTGGAGATGGGATGACCAAAATAGATTGGTTAGACGACCCTTAGGCCCCAACATGAATATTGACCAAGACCCACCCGAGGATGCCAGTGACAATTTTGAGAATTTCGGTGCCAATGTTAATGTCCCAAGGGGACGTGGAGTGCAAGGCCCTAGAATTCCAAACCCTAGAATGCATTTTCCTCATAGGAATGAAGGAAACAATATCCCAATTGATACTCTAGCGAGGTTAATAGGGGATTATCTCCAACCAACTCATAGCACCACCCCCTCATGCATTCTCTTACAGGTCCAAGCACATGCCTTCCTAGTCAAGCCGGGAGTGTTGCAACTACTTCCTCAATTCCACATAATTGAAAGAGAAAATCCTTATTTACACATTAAAGTATTTGAGCAGATAGTTGCAACATTTCTCACCAATCATGGCATGGAAGACATTACTAGAACGAAATTGTTCCCCTTTTCCTTAAAAGATAAAGCAAAAATGTGGTTAAATTCCTTGAAGCCTCGATCAATAACCTCTTGGACACAAATATTCTCCGAGTTTTTGAACAAAGTTTTCCCAGTGCCTAAATCCACTGCTCTTAAAAAGCAAATTCAAAACTTTTCAAAAAAATCCAATGAGCAATTTTACCAATGTTGGGTTCAATACAAGGAATTGCTACAATCCATTCCACACCATGGCTTTGAACCATGGCAATTGGTGAGTTTCTTCTATGAAGGGATTACACTGGGCCATCGACAGTTTATAGACATGATGTGCAATGGGGAGTTTTTGAACAAGGATCCCAATGAGGCCCCAGAATACTTTAGTACATTGGCACAAATTGCACAATCTTGGGATATCATGGATCCCACCGATGTACCGAGGTCTTCTCTGGGCAGTAATCAATCAAGTGGGGGAGGGATGTATGATTTAAGGGACTGGGAAGACTCACTTTCCAAAATCACTAAGTTGTCTCGAAAAGTGGAGAGTCTAGAGGTCAATAGGAGACATGAGGTGTCCAACACTTCCAAGACCAAGGAGTTTTGCTCTATCTATGAGAGTGTTGAACATTCCATAGCAGAGTGCCCTAACATTCCGAAACTTCAAGGATGTCCACCATGAGCAAGTCAATGCCTTCAACCAAAGTAGGCAATTATTCTCCCGCATTCTAACACTTATAATCCGGGTTAGAGTAATCACCCAAAATTCAATTGGAAGAATGAGAATCCCACTCCTTATGGGTCTAACGCATATTTACCTACCATGCCTCCTAAGAAAAATCAATACCATGGTCAAGGTCAATCATCTAGCTCTCATTACCCACGGTCCAATCTGCAAGGGTATTCAGAAAACCCACCTCCACAAAGTTTTTTCCAAAGTCCACCTCCACAGAGTTTTGGTCAATAAGGACCATTAAATCCTCCCACCTACCAACCACCTCATAAGAGGAACTTAGAGGATGTGGTGAATCAATTCATACAAAGGCAAACCACCATCAACAACCAAACCACCACAATTTTTAATGACATTTGGACCCAAATCACAAAGTTGAAAAATGCCATAGGGACGTCACAACAAGAGAAGGTAAATTTTCCGCTCAACCCCAAGAGAACCCTAGAGGCCAACATGTGAGAGTCATCCGAACCCACCAAAGAGAGTTGTGAGCAACTCAAGGCGGTCACCACCCTTCGAAGTGGCAAACAAATTGATAAGACCATTGTGCCAAAAGTCTCACCCAAGAACACATTGACCAAAGAAAATGAGACTACGGTTGACTTCGAGGGGGTGAGGTGAGTGAGAAAGAAAAAAATGTTGATGTTAGTGTGCATGCATGTCCCATTCCCACTACTTTTCCCAATTGTTTGAAGCCACCCTCGAAGGTGGCTCATTATTCTGACATTATTGAGATGTTTAAGCAGGTAAAGATCAATATCCCATTCCTCGATGCCATGTATCAAATCCCTTTATGTGCCAAGATTTGGAAGTATTTATATACTTTAAAGAGGAAGCTAAATGTGCATAAGAAGGCATTCCTCACTGAGCAAGTGAGCTCAATTTTGAGGACCAACACCCCACTAATGTTCAAGGACCCCGGATGCCCTACCATTGCCATCACAATAGGGAATTGCCAGGTGGAGCAAGCACTTCTTGATTTGGGGGTGAGTGTTAACCTCCTATCTTATTCGGTGTATCAACAATTCCAACTTGAAGAATTGAAGCCAACTTCAATCACTCTTCAATTGGCAGACCGTAGTGTTAGAACACCGAGGGGAGTAGGTTGAGGATGTCTTGGTTTAAGTGGATAATTTCTATTTTTTTGTTGATTTTATTGTTCTTGACACACACCCGGTTGCTAACTCTAGTTCACAAATTCCTGTCATATTAGGTAGACCTTTTCTTACTACATCTAATGCTGTGATTAATTGCAGGAATGGTCTTATGAAGCTTGCATTTGGGAACATGACAATGGACCTCAATGTGTTCAATTTATGTAAACAACTGGGGGATGATGAGGAAGTGCATGAAGTCAATAGGATTGATACATTGGTGAAGGATCACTTGGAACTATTGAACTTGTTAAAGTTGGGGGAGGAGGAGAGTATTGATCAAGAGGAGTTGGAAAGTTTAAAAGGGGTGAAAAATGGAACCCTACATTTGAGAAGCTTCCACATCGAGACAAGAAGATCTTTCCAATGACTGTGCAAAAACCCATCTTGAAGTTGAAACCTTTACCATCCAACCTCAAATATTCATTCTTGGGGGACCATGAGACATTTTTGGTGGTAATAAACTCAACTTTGGAGGCAAGCCAAGAGGAAGAATTGTTTTGTGTATTCAGGAGACACAAAGGAGCCATCGGGTGGACCATAGCCGACATTAAAGGGATTAGTCCCCTCATTTGCACTCATAGCATTTACTTGGAGGAAGATGCAAAACCATCCTGACAATCACAATGGAGAATTAATGTGACGCCCCTAAAATCGGGGTTCCCGTTGATGACCCGTCAACCTGCGAAAATGCTCGTGAGTGCTGTTTGATCTGACATCACGCTAATATTATTCCATTACCCTGAATTTTAACTCACACGTATTACCCATGTTCCTTTAATCATTTAATTTAACCGTGGCTTAAGGTACCACAATTCATGCCTCTCTATTGTCCAAAGACCGAGAGCACAACACTTTAGTTTTAAAATTTCAAAATTTTGGAGAGAGTATCGGTACTGTTTACTCATTGGCCCTGGTGATTAGCACAAAACATTGTATAATTCTAGGTGCTAATCATAATATTTTAACTAATTTTGAAGATTAAATATTTGGAGTTATATCTGTTGAGTTATTAACGATGATATTTGGTGTTTGCAGTTAAAAGGTGCTAAATAAGGCTCCTTAAGGCCTTCCTAGATGTTTTGAGATGATTGGAGGTGAAAGAATGGCCAGAGGAAAGCTTTGGAGTAATGAAATCAGAAAATCCAGACAAGTATGCAGAAGTGTACTGGTACTCAGTACTGATACGGTCTAGCCACTGGAACATAGCATTTTGGTACTGTGTACCGGTACGGTAAAGACTCTGGAGTTCGACATACCGGTACGCTCTACTATTCTACCCAACTGCTATACAACTTAGACCTGTACTTCGTGGGACCCTCAATGACATTCTCCTGCAACTCCCTAACACTCCCAGCATACAAAACACCCCCTCATGCACCTCTTCTTGGACTTTTGTAGCATAGGTCATAAATGTGGAGAGAGGAGAGAGAAGTTGTTGGGTGAGGAGACACAGCCTGCCATACCCATCCTTTTAGCCCCCTATTGATGGGAGGCCTTTCACACAACTAGAG